GTGCCCCGAGCCGGGAGAGCCGGGAGAGCCGCTGCGGGAGCTGCCCTCCCTTCCCGCGGGGGACTCGCCCAGGCGCTATCCGAGTGGAGGTTGGGAGCATTTGCAGCAGAATTTTTGGCTTTCCCTCCCCCTCCATACATTCCCCCCTCCTGCTCCTTTTCCAGTTTTTCTGCTTCCCGGGAAGTGAATTGCTGATGCCAAGAGGACTTTATTCATTAATGATGCAACCGGATTCGTTTCAGGATTATGTTGCACGAAATTGAATTTTGAATGAAGGATTTTTTTTTTTGTGAAAGAAAGTGTTGACTCTTTAGTTCGTTGTACTTTTAATTATTATTTTATTTAAGTATACAGTTTAATTGTATTATTCTCTTAAAAATATTAAATCTATATTTTATGGAAACTTACCCTCAAGATATATATGTTCATGGGTGAAATTGAAGACGCTTCCGTTAAGTGAAGTGACTGGCGTGTTGGATGTTTAATTCAGCACCGGCATTGCATGACAGTTGTTGAAATAACAAGTGGTTTGTTTTTTAAAACCACACCGTTAAAATTTTAGGTTCAGGTAGTAACAGTAGACATCGTAAGGGCCATTAAAAGAAAACCAGCAGAAATCGAAGCAAACATGTCCGGGGAAGTACGTCTGAGGCAGTTGGAGCAGTTTATTTTAGATGGGCCAGCTCAGACCAATGGGCAGTGCTTCAGTGTGGAGACGTTGCTGGACATACTCATCTGTCTTTATGATGAATGCAATAATTCTCCATTGAGAAGAGAAAAGAACATTCTTGAATATCTGGAATGGGGTAAGTTAGTTTTTTTTTTTTTTTGTTAACTCTTAATGTGGGCATAACTCTTAAGGTGGGCATGAGCATTATTAACTATAATGAAAAAATATGTATGTAACCATAACAAAAGAACAAACGCCACTTACCACTTAGTCAAGACTGTGGTGTCCCGTGTCTCTCTCCCCCCCCCCCAGCTTTTGGTAACTGCCAGGAGTAAAGCTGGGCCACTTCATTGTTGCCTTGGTGTGCGGCCTCGCTGTTTGTGGACTACACTGCGTTTTGGGGCAGCAGGAAGAGCTTTAAAACAAATACTGGGGCGAGCAAACGTGGGATTATTGAGCGCATTTGTCTCATGCATGGCGGTGTAACAGCCGTTCAGTGGGAATGTATTTGTTGGTTGAAACATTCCTTCTCAGGCTTTGGAAATCACTGGAAATGGGAGGAGATGTTGAAGTCTGTGTTTATTTTAGGACAACAGGACCGCGGAGGTGGTGATCAGTGGGTTTAATTTCATCTCTATATAGCACAAGCAAGGGAAACTACTAAACATGGACTTTCCAAAAATTACTAGGTTCCTGAGATGAAATGATAGAAAAGTAAGTGTGTGTGTGTGTGTGTGTGTGTGTGTGTGTGTGTGTTTGGAGAATGTTTGGAGGCAGCTCCACATGTGTTAAATTTTACCCTAAAACGAACTCGCATCCATACTGGTGAGAGTCTCAGCTTCCAGTCTTCTAAGTGTAGATGTGACCCGGACGACCCGTAGTAGTGATGACCCGTAGTAGTGGACTAGGTCAGTGATGGCAGTAAATGCTGCAAGTGACCTTCAAGGTAGAAGGGTTGGCTCAAGTGCTTGAGCCTCTGATGTCACTCACTTGGATGAGGGAAGTCTGGCATCTAGCTGTTGCAATCGTTGCCCAGCCTGGTAGTGAGTGGTACAGCAGCTCTGGAAGGATTTTGGCCATCTAGAATTTTGTGCTGTTGAAATACTTTTAGTTAGCTAAATCAGTTTTTATATTGGAGATCTTTGTTCCCAAGTAAAGCTTAATTTTCTGAAGTAAAAATTAAGTGCCCGTTGTTGCTTTGGTTTTCAAATTAGTTCATAATTTGTCTCTCAGGTCAACCCTGGATTTGAGAATGTCCACACAAAGCAATTTTAATTCTCCAACTTGCCAGTATTCAAAGAGTGATTGCTAGCAGCATGATGTTACAAGGTTAAAAAAAAGAATGTGTGAATGTAAATGGAATGATTTTACAAAACAGCCTGCCAGCATCATGCTGGGAATGTAAGAAATCTTAAACCATTTTTCAGGCAACCTCTTTTTTGAGAGCAGGGACTTTTTCTGTTGACACTGGCTTTGTTTGCATCTACCTGCCTTTTGATGTGTAGGACCCAATACTTCATATAGCATATGGGACTTTACACCCTGTGTTTCATAAACTTAGGAATTCTGTGGTGTTTCTTTTTTGAGGACTTAAAAGGTTTCGGTGCTCCTAGAGTTGGAATTTGAGTCCTTAAATTATGGCCCCATAGTGACACTCTAGTCTGTGATTATGATTGTCATTTAATATCCTTTTCATTTGCAAAACAGTAGGAGAACCCTTTGTATGTCCCAGTGGCAAGTATAATTTAGTGTATAAGAGAAAACTATTTCCTGGTTTCCTGTTACATAGCAGTTTTATGCTGTGGAATATTTTGCCATATTATTAAAATAGCCTATGCATCTTCCATTTAATATCTTTTCTTGATGTTATTTTCCTATGTATATGAAAATATACTTTAGACATACATATTTACTTATACCAAAAAAGTTAAAAAAAATCAAGTGTTTGGCTGCATTCACTATATTCTTTTATTTATTTATTTATTTATTTTGAGAGAGGATATTAATCTGTAGCTCAGGGTGGTCTTGAAATTGCTATGTAACATTACTGGTATGCACTACCATGTGTAGGTTGTATAGTGCTGGGAATTGAACCAAGGTCTTTATACATGCTAAGCAATTACTCTACTATTTGAGTTCCATCCCCAGTCCAGATTCACTGTATTTTTATTAATAATTTCATTTCTCATCTTTGTAGTTGTCTGATGTATAGCATCATGAAACCCTGCAGTCTCAAACTATTACTGGAACCCTGCAGTTTCATAAACTATTACTGGAGTTTTAAGAAAGGGTTATAATTTAATTAATTTATTTATTTATTTTGGTTTTTCGAGACAGGGTTTCTCTGTAGCTTTGGAGCCTATCCTGGCACTCGCTCTTGTAGACCAGGCTGGTCTCGAGAGCTCACAGAGACCTGCCTCTGCCTTCCGAGTGCTGGGATTAAAGGTGTGCACCACCAACGCCTGGCTAAGAAAGGGTTATTTTATTATTTTAAGTTATGTATGTGTATGTGTGTGGGTCTGTATGTAGGTATGTGCTACATGTAAGTTCAAGCTCTCAAGGAGACCCCAGACATCTAATCCCCTTGAAGCTGACTGCTGGTGGTTGTAAGCTGCCTGACACGGGTGCTGAGAATGAAACTCAGGTCCTCTGGAAGAACATTTGCCCTCTAAGCTACTGAACTATCTCTTCAACTTCAAGACAGTAGTATAAAAAGTTCTTAAAATTACTTCTTTTATGCTTTTAGATTATAATTACATCATTCCCCTCTTTTTTCCTCCCTCCAACCCTTTCCTTCATACTTCTTGTTCTCTTTCAAATTCATGTATTCCTAAATTCATAAATACAACATGCTTAGTCTGCAGAATGTTACTTGTATATATATTTTCAGGGCTGAACCTTTAGTTTTGGATAACCAATTGGTGTGCTCTTCCCTGGGGAAGAGAGTAGAATTTTTTAAGCAATTATTTTATATACTTTAGGCTCTAAAGTCTCTGGCATGTTCTTCCCTCCGTAAGAATTAAAGAGTGGAAGTGTTGTAAGAGATGCATCAGAAGTGGTTTCGTTTACTATCTTTAAGCTATTGGGGATTTTAGATTAAGAATGGTAGTATCTTTTCATTAAAGTATTGTAGTGAATCATTCCTTGTTCATTTATTAGTCTATCACTACATTCCCGTTGCAAAACAATGTATAAGAATATCTAGATTATCTAGATTATGTTTTCAGATTGTGAGTTGTCTTCAGTTTACATTTTTAATGAATTACTAACTTTTAGGGATGGAAATTTACAAGAATATTATTAAGGTTAAATTTAACAGTTTAGATTTGCTTCAAGATGTCATCTTTGGTTTGATTTTAACAATTCAAAAAGTATTGTCTTTTAAGTCTTTAAAAGACCCAGTAATTGCCGATGTTGGTGTCGCACGCCTTTAATCTCAGCACTTGGGAGGCAGAGGCAGGCGGAGCTCTGTGAGTTCGAGGCCAGCCTGGTCTCCAGAGCGAGTGCCAGGACAGGCTCCAAAGCTACACAGAGAAACCTTGTCTTGAAAAAAAAAAAAAAAAAAAAGACCCAGTAATTGAAATAGAATAGTATAGTTAAATATTCGGTATTACATGCTAAATACTACCTAGGCACTCCATATTTTTATAAGGAGATGATTGCCATATTTTTATAAGGAGATGACTTGTTACTTTTAAATATGTAGTCAATACATGTGTCACTTTCATCAATTTCATTTGATTCCTTGTTACGGTCCATTTCATTTCTGTAGTGGTACAGTTAACATTTTGTTATAACAGTACCACAGTAAGAAGGCTGATTATTCCAAGTCTGGTGTGCTGTTTTTCTTTTATAGCATTTCTTGGTTTTGGTGCTGATGACCTGAGGGAGAAAAGTAAAGCAGGAGAGAGAAAGAAGGGATTGAGTCAGTGAGTGCTAGCCCAAGGGGATAAAAGCACCTTAAGACCATAGGTCACTTCTGAGTTTCATATTATATTATTTTCTAGTTACAGTCAGCAATACTTGAAAAGCGTTCTTTTCCTTTGATTTCTAAGTTGTTAGAATGATTTCTGCTTATAGCCAGTAAGAGTTAAAAGACTTTCTTTGATTTTGTTTTTAAAAAGTTATTAGAAAGATTATGGTTTCTGTGTTTGTTTATATAGTAATAGTTTTGATGTCAGTAATAGAACTCTTTAAGTTATAGTGGAGCTATAAGAAGTAAAGTAGTTGTGGCATTATAAACTAACTTGTCAGTAATGATTAATACATTCACTATTCATTTAATTGGTTTCCCTCTGCTTTGAATTGGGAAATTTAAATATTAAGGAACTACTAATTTATTTAAAAAGTAGGTATAAGATAAGATTGCTCAGTACAAAAGGAACTGGCAAGTTTCTCTGTATGTGGATTACTTTTTTATGCTTTCTGATCCTGATTTTGTAACACTTCGTGTAAGTTTTCACTAGATAACTATTTTTATAGCTTATTCAGATTTTATGCTACATCCAGAGAATAGTCTGATTATTAAACTTTTTACTAGGATACATCAACAGGTATTGTGGTATAAGCATTTCCTTTTGTTAGAGTTGTTTTAAAGTTTATTCTCATTTTTTTCTTATGTGAATTGGAATGGTGATGGCTTGATTGGAAGGAACTGAATTATTTCTAGAGTACTACATGTCTGCTGTTCCTCACCGTTAACTTTCCCTGAGAATTATTTATCACACAGAATTAGGATATTCATTTAATACGTTTAAAATAAGTCTTCATTTGGGATCATTGTAAATGGATTGAAAATATAGGTAGGACACTTGCTTCCTTTACACTAATCATCCAATATTCTGTTTTAAGAATGGGTATGGTTTATCTGAAACAGTGCTGACACCCAAGGGACATACTAGGAACATAATTAAGTGGTAGGTAGCTGTTGTACTATTTCTCCCCATTCCTCCTTTCTCTCCCTCCTTCCTGACACTTTCTTCTTAAGGTAGTTGCCAAATAATATTGGTTACTGAAGTATCTTGCAGTATTGGTTACTTGGTGAATAAACTGTTTAAAATAATATTGCTTTGTGAGTGAGAACATTATATCAATATTACTATTTTAAGAATTTTAGAAGTACTTCATATGGAAACT